ATATATATATATATAATGTTTTTAAATAAATTACTCCAGCTTCTCAAAGTGAAGAGCAAAACTATAAAAAGCATTATAAGAGTTAGTTTTGGTCCTCAAACACAACTGGTTAAGCAAGAAAACTGATATTTAGCCCAACAGTAGGATGACTTTTCATTCTGTCACTTCACTTGTCTGCTTGTCTTCATCTGTTATTAAAGAGTAAATATCCTCCTATGCCCTTTGGGCTAAATCACAAACTACAGTGCTCAACCCTTGAGGACAGACGTCACCATTCAAAGATCTGTCCAACACAGACAGGATCATCCCTGGCAATAGGATCAGTTTAGCAGAGATTTGTGCACCAGGACATTGGAGAGAGGAATAAGAATTGAAAGAAGTGGAAGCAGGGATGATAAGTTAGAGCAATTGATAAGAGGACTCTGAGTCACTTCCTGAAAGATAAATTGTATTAAAGGGCTAATAGATTAACTGACTCAAGAAGACAGTAGCATATCCCATGGTGAAATAAAAGGCCTTTCAATGCTGAACATCAACTCATTGACCTTATAAAGCCTACTGTATCATATCTGATGCACAAAGACCTCTAAATAACCAAAATGATCAAAACTTTGCTGAAAAACCTGTTGCACACAATCTACTACACACTTTGTCATCTGATTGATAGTTTATTCTTTTTTAGCAAGTAGAAGGCCTGTTAGTATAATTGTACCAGTGTCTACCTTCAGGTAGTGGTTTATGTGTCTTGCTGCTGTGAAATCATTACTGACTTTTATAAAGTAAATATAAAACAAGCTTTGATATTGTTATTAATATTTCAAGATAAACACTTACTAGACTGAAGCAACTTTTTTCCATAGATATTTTCTTCTAATTGTTTATCCATCAGGCTTTTGAGGAGAGTTTATTTGTCAATCTGTTAATGATTTGTATGATCTGGCAATCATCATTGTATTGCACTGCATTATATGCTTTGAAACAAAATAGCATTGATCATAAAACTAAGCATTTAAATATCTTAAGACATATTGGTGATACAGAGTGTCAGTTGATATTTATATTATTTTATGCAAGTAGTCTGCTATACTCTTAAAAATATCTCATTGACTTACATTACAAGCTATCAAAATTTAATTATATAAACTATAAGTATCTATAGCAAATTGCATATTGTGAGTGACGTGACATGTGGCCATACTCGGAATTAGTGCTCTGCATTTAACCCATCCAAAGTGCACACACACAGCAGTGAACACACACACACCGTGAACACACCCCCGGAGCAGTGGGCAGCCATTTTTTTGCTGCGGCGCCCGGGGAGCAGTTGGGGGTTCGGTGCCTTGCTCAAGGGCACTTCAGTCATGGTATTGAAGGTGGGAGAGAGCGCTGTACATTCACTCCCCCCACCTACAATCCCTGCCGGTACGAGACTCGAACCCACAACCTTTGGGTTACGAGTTTGACTCTCTAACATTAGGCCACGACTTCCCCAAGTTATTTTTGCTCAGTTTGGGACTCTGAATAAAACGGAGCTGTTTTTTCTCTCCATATTTTCACTACATCATACTATGAGCCATAAAAACCTGATATGACTAATATGATATGAAACAAAAAACACATGAAAACTGTTGTTGATTTTGTCTAAAGATTCAATAAAGTGTTCCATTTACAAAATTTGACTTTTCTGACTATTAGGGTTAATAAAGCCATATGATATATATATATATATATATATATATATATAGGACATCACAAATCCTATTATCATTACTGATAATCCTAACATTATAAATTAATGTACGTGGACCCACCTGTCTGTTTATTTCAGCCCCTGTGTGTAAGAGCCACAGCAGGCATTCTGGATGTCCTCCAAACGCAGCAATGTCTGGGCAAACCGTGTGGTCAGTGCATTCACTTCACAACCCACCTGCATTCACGTCACAACCCACCTGCACCAGCCTCGTAACACACTCCAGCTGTTTTGTGACAGAGTACAATAAAATCAACAAATTAGTGACATGACCTTCCACCAGTGCCTGGTTTCTCCCCCTACATAGTACACACATGTGAAATCATGCTCAAAATACAAACCATCAATAATTCCAGAACAATTTAAGACATAAGGATTGAGTACTTCAGCTCAAGCTGTTGTTTATAGCAGCAGACTTCACATTGGTGAAATCAAATAGTTTAAGACAGACTGCCAATCTCTCAAATTTGCTATTTGAGGCTCATGTTTCCTGCTCTGCTGTCAGGGACCAGCAGCTGTGTTGCATTTTCAATATGGAACACCATGCGGCAACTCATTACCCTGTTCTCTGGCTCTCTTCTCCCTTCCTGACATTAAACACACTCTGGAAAAATAGACCAATTCCCTCAAACACTTTCAAGTCCTACCACCTTTGTTTGGCTGTTTGAAATTGCCTCATGGCCAAAAAATCTCTGTAAAAATGGCACAATCAGCAGATGTTAAGAGCAGAAACACAGGATGTGCTCGTTGTATGCGTGTTAGGGTTGGGCCGATAGACGATGCCATCGTCCATCGCCGATGGCTGATAGACATCACGATGTTGAGCCGCCATCGTGATCTGTCCCCCAATTAATTATATAAATGTACCTCTGATGGTTCTGATTGTCTTCAATCAATGGCATTTTGTTTTCATCATTGCTCCATGTAATACCTAAAGGAAGTGTTCTTAATCGCAATACTGCTTTGTCCACGGAGGTTACAGGAAACAGCTCTAATTCAGCTTTTCCATAAGCGCCACCTGCTGTCAGCGAGTGGATTTACAGAGACTTATATTTACATTCAGCCTGTGTGCAGTTTCTGTCTGGCCAAAAACGGACCGAATTTGCATGCCCTGCTGTAAATTTTGACCGGTTGATGAAAAACAAGCGTATGTGGATTCTACAGATTTAAACAATTCAGATAAGTTATCTAGAATTATTTATGGAGCAGATAAAATACATATAATTATTTATTAATCATTATAATTTTGACATATCTTTTCTTTATTTAAAGGCTGAAATGTGAGGTTTACCTTTTTATTAAACTTTTTCAAAGCTTTATTTGAACATTTACGTTAGATATTTCAACATGCTATTAAACTGTTGTCAGTCAAGTTGTCATTTAAAATACGAACATCATTGGTAATGTTATTGTTTTAGTGATTATGCAAACAAAATGTAATTTCATTTGTTGTTTGTTGATTTTTAAATATAAAACTTGGTGAAGTGATTTATGTGTCGGTACTTTTTTAACATCTCCAGCACATTTTAACAATACCGTGATAATACTGATAACCGTGATAATTTTGGTCACTATAATCGTGATAAGAAATTTTCGTACCGTTACATCCCTAGTAATTATACTGTATTTAAATTGCGGCCATCAGTGAGTTGCTACTAATATGCAGGGCATTGAAACCGCTTTCGAATGCGTGCTCTCATTTTACTTTCACTTTCGAGATTCGCGATCACATGGACTCTATACTACGGAGCGGCCTTACCTACCACACATTTTACAAGATTAGATATTTGTCAGTGGTGCTCAGTATCTGCAAATCATTCGCCATTGTCCTATCAGTCATCTCTCCTTACTCTGTGTATGTGTATGTGTCGGTACTTTTTTAACATCTCCAGCACATTTTAACAATACCGTGATAATACTGATAACCGTGATAATTTTGGTCACTATAATCGTGATAAGAAATTTTCGTACCGTTACATCCCTAGTAATTATACTGTATTTAAATTGCGGCCATCAGTGAGTTGCTACTAATATGCAGGGCATTGAAACCGCTTTCGAATGCGTGCTCTCATTTTACTTTCGAGATTCGCGATCACACGGACTCTACACTACGGAGCGTCAGTACCTACCACACATTTTACAAGATTAGATATTTTTCAGTGGTGCTCAGATTCTGCAAATCATTCGCCATTGTCCTATCAGTCATCTCTCCTTACTCTGTGTATGTGGTAAGTGAACTTTCATGTACTGTAACAGTTTACTGCTAGCAAGCGGCTAACCATGTCCCTTTAGTGGCTCCGTAGAATGCGTTATTTTTTTTCCAAATAACCAATTTTTGGTAGACATCGCCCAACCCTAATGTGTGTACATGAAGTATATGCAGAATAAAGCGCATAAATGTACTAGAGCGGAGTAATTTGAACCAATGACAAATGTGTTAAAGTGTGGAAAACACGCCACATTTCACAGGACCAGTTCTTTGCTCAGAGATTTTCTCTGTAAACTTCCATTTGGAATAATGCTAAAAATAGTTACATGTCACTGAAGCTTTTCCATTTTTCCATGATGAATGCAAGCATTGAGACATAATGAGGTAATGTGTTTGAAATAACATCAATAGTAACTGTTCACACAAGAGACAAAAATTCAATTTTCATCACTGAATGGGCACAAAAGTACAAACTTTCTAACTTCAACAAATCTGTCAATAATCTCACATTATGTAACATTACACAATTTAAACAATATGTACCATCACACAATACCATCAAATGTGTACATTTTAACAAGCATTAAAGGGGTCATATGATGCTGCTAAAAAGAACA